AAACATCTTTGTAAAGTAGTTTCCTGCATCTTTCAACAAGCCTGGCTGCACAGTGATCAACACCTTGCTAATGGGCTAAATTTTAAAATACATGACCTTGTCACTGACAGAAACTGATGGGAAGGATGAAGAGAAAGCTGCAGAATGCAACTGAGGAATGGTGATGAAGGACCCCTCCCATGACTTTTCAAGCTGATTTTGTCTTGGACAATACACTAGCAGGAATACTCAGTCCTAAGCCAAGTTTTCCTGGTGTGAAGCACCCACAGTGTTAGGCAGAGCTTCAGACAACACTTCAGCACGTGTGCTCAGCATACATGTGGACTAACACACGCGCTTCAGCGATGCATGCCCACAAAGGATCAAAAGCAATGGCAAATTACTCGCCCATACTACAAGGGGAAGGGAGAAAGTTGTAAGAGAGATTGTTTGGAATTAAAAGATTGTATTTTTCCCTCAAAAAACTAGGCCAAGGACAATCTGATGTAAATTGCTGTATGCAGAAAAAGCAGTGGATGAAACTGGCTCATAACCTAACAGTACCAGCAATGGTGCTGGCTTGTCTGCATGGATAGAGCTGTGTGATTTTAATGATAATTCAAGCTCACACTGAGCTCCAGAGTGGAAAACTAAACACAGCCTCCTCCAAAGGCCAGATATATTTAACTTCCAAGGTTGTGGTTTTCAGTCTCTTTTCAGGTTGTAGAAATGTCAAGATCAAACTCAAGCAGCTTCAGGATTTTCATAGACAGAGGACAAAGAAGCATCCCCACATGTTCAGCACGTTACCCTCAAGAGAACCTCTCTGCAAAAATGGAAGAGCTGACCTGTGAGCCCCACCTTGGGCACTACAAGTCCACAGATCTGGGTGCAGCCTCCACACGGCTCTTTTAAAAGTCTCTATCTGGGGGGGCCCAATCTCTGAGCTGTGGCCAGCCCTCAAGCACGTCCATTCCTCAGGCAAATATGGTCCTCTGACATGGGAGGCAATCCAGTTCAGAGCCAAGCTTAGGCAACACAAACATCAGCCTCAGCTGGAGGCAAAGGAGAGTTTCCAGTGAGAAGTTTCGGCAGGGGCTTCCCCAGGCCACGAAGAGCACAACACAGATACCAACAATCAGGAATTCGGCTGCATCTCCCTATCCTTCTTCTGTAACAAGATCTCCGGTGTCATCTTAGCTTTGAGGGACTCAACTCTGCTCCATACAGCAGCTAAAGTTTAGCTCAGGGCTACTTGCTCCCAGAAGTGTCTCTGCAGCTTTTGTCTCACACAGCCCTGTCCAAACCACTCCTAGCAGGCTATGTTTGTGTGCTTCTCTGCCACAGAGATTCAGTCCATCCTGAAATGGCAGTGCCTTTCCTCCTCATCTGGTGGTCCAAATCCACTACCATGTCATTGACATTTTTAGTGTCAGAGCTTTCCCAGTTTAAGCTTTACTTGCTCTTAGGAAAGTGCCTTAAACCGAGCTCTGCATGTCCTTTCCACAGATGCTGCTTTGTCTAGTGTACCTTGTCTCTGGTCTCTGGTTTGGTAATGATCCAAGCTCACTGCATAACAGCAGGAACCATGGGGGAAGCAAGAGCAGAGCGATTCTCTGCCTGTTCTTGCAGCTCTGCCTTGCCAGCATGGAAATACTGCGACTTCCCCACTTTCCTTCCAATTCTCAGTGGTACAGCTGATAAAGACATTTAAAGGCATGAAAGGAAATGAAAGTGCTCTATCCCACTGGAAGCCACCAGGAGCTGGGTATCGAACCTTCATTTGTGCTTTTGGAAGTCTTCCTCCAAGGCTTTAGTGCAGCAGTGAACAACTGACGTACAATCTATTCACTGCTCTTCTCCACTTATTTCACAGCTTGAAGAGAGGCAATAAAACTAGGGACTTTAGCTCAGCAGTTTTGCCTGATTTGCCAATTTTTGTTGCCATTCTGTGTTTCAGCATCAGGACTTCTGCAAATTTTATTTTTATTTTTATTTCTGTTGTCAGCATCCTGGCACATAAATGGGAGCAGAGTGCTACCCTGCAGGACACCAGCATCAGTGCTGGCTGGGGGCAGAGCTCCGACATGAACTCTCACATCTGGACCTTCTAGGAACAGGCATTTTAAAAGCCATCTATAAAACAAAAGGAATTCCTTATATCTGATGGTGTTCTTGTGGATACTGGTTATTTTTTCTTTAATCTTTTCATTTCTGTAGTAGCTGGCCTTTTTGCACAGCCTGGGAACCTGCAAGAACATTTTGTCTGACAGTGCAAAGTGGAAGGTGGGGGCAGAAGGCATGCTTCCTACTCTGAGACCTGCCTTATGTTTCTGTGCAATTTTTGGAGAGTTTCTCTGGCCAAATTACTCAACTTGCAAACTGCTGTCTGGCTTATCCACATTGTCACAGCTTCTGAGGTCGAGACTGTCACTCTACAAGGCACTGAAAATCTGCTTGTTTAATTACCTCAGTTTCCCTGTTCGTAAAGGGAGGAGGAGATCTTCTTCCATGTCTCAACTCATTAATATTTGTAAATTGTTCTGAGATTATGGGATAGTTGGAACTATTTATAGGAATGCAAAACGCCACTTCTATTAGGTGCAAGTTGCCATCCAATTAAAATATACTGAGCATCACAATGTGTAGCAAATGGGACATCTTGTTTTACATCAGCCAAGAAACGCTAAGCGGCTCTGTGCTTCCTAGTTGCTTATTTTATACTTTTTGCCCTAAAAAACTCATTAAGGAAATGTACTGGGCCAGACTGTGATGTTTAGCAAGAGTCGTAATCTCTCTTGAAGTTCCCAGCCCACAGGGAAAAGGAAGTTCATGTGGGCAAATCAAGCTCCTCTTCCCACAGCTCTACAAAAGGCAGCGCTTTACAATTTGCTGTTGAAAGAGAGGGATGTGAACCACAGTTACGGTCCTTTTGCATCTCTTAAAAGGAGATTTCCATTCTGTAGGTATACATAAAGAACAGTCTCTGCTCTCAGCCCTTCCAGAGAAGGGGAACAGAAGATCGTTTGAATCTCAGCTCTCCTTAGCTGCCTTCTATGGACTGACCGGGGAGAACTTTTATTGGCTCATTCTCCTACAAATGAATTTATTTTGATTCCTTCCAAAGGGTTGCATAGAGTCTGTCCTCATTTCTGTCTGGGAGAGCTTTGTGAGAGGCCATTTGGACAAGACCGCTACAATAATTCATGCCATTTGCAGACAATCTGTAAACCCTTACAGTGTCTCAGAATGATTAATTATTTTTCTAAGAATATGAAGCAGTGTATGTGTGTGTGTTTGTGAATATGCACACTCACAACGAGTAAAGACAGGCAGCTGCCCTAGGCCCAGAGGCAGGAATAAAGATCAGCACAGATTTCTTCTTTGCTGCGCAGAGGTTTCTGTGATAGTTTCACCCCTCTGCGTTTTAGGTTTTAAGTGAACCCAAAGCAGAGGGTAGCAGTCTTATTTGTTTCCAAGTCTCCTAACAACAGGACTCTGGAAGACCCAGTCTAACATGTCCCAAAGGTATAATCCTACATAAATAACTTATTCTAACGATAATCATTGGCATTGGCTTCAGCCACCCAGGAGAAGAGCAATTAAAGCCACCCTCATCCTAGATTACAAGGCCTAAACTTAATCTCCGTTAAGTTTTCAATACTATTAGTTTTACATTAGCTTTCAAACCAAACAGCACGTTGCTGGTCATTTCTGGATGAACATACATTAATCCAAGGGAGTTTAGAACAAGGCATCTCCAAATCCTAGGATTTGGAATGATATCCTAAAAGCTATCTCAAATATTCTCCATAAATACCCATCCGATACAAACTAATCCCAAAGGGAAGGCTCATGGGAGCAAAAATCAGAACAATTGCTGGAACAAATGTTCAGGATTTGCTCAGGATTGTAGTCCAAGCCCTCTTTTGCAACAGGGTACAAGAAATAAATCCATGTAGGCTGTCACTAGCTGTAGTAAGTCTGGAACCTTTTAGTATTGAGTGCCTATACCAGAACCTCTCCCCTTTTCACATTATTTAGGCTATCACTGCAGGTACTAAAAATTATTTGCTCCTTGCTGTAACAGATAGAGTTGGGTGAGAAACATTACTTACTTCCCAGCTAAACAATTAGAAGACCATATCAACATGTAGTAGTACATGAGAAAAAGAACAGCAATCAAATCCTTTTGATGTTTGTCCTCACTAAAATGATTTTCTGGGAACAGTAAAGTTGACTGTGCATTCCCTGGGAGCGACTGACTGTCAGGGGGACCAGCAGAGAAAAGACTGTTGGTTATAACAAGTTTTAAAAGGAAGTATCCATCCTTCACTAGGTAAGACATCTTCCTCTCCTTGCATGCCCCATGATCATCCCCTTTGCTATTATACTTGTATACCCAATGGCACCTCCCTCAAAAGCTTTTGTTAGTCTGGTTTGTCTGGCTAAGAAAATGTCAGCTGAAAGAATAAATCTGTGGAGGCTGCAAGTACAAACACTCACACAGAAGATTTAAAAAAAAAATTATCCTGTTCTGTGCTTGTAGAAACCAGTCTCCTCACAAGTTTAAGAGTCCAAATCCCTCATGCAAGGAAGAGAAAGTCATGTGAGAGGTTAAAGAAATCGAAAGCCAAGATGAATATTAGTTTTGTCGTACAGTCCTGTAAAACAAGCTGGGTGAAGTTACTCTTTGGGTTGGTTTGGTTATCAATGTCTCCTGCCATACTGCATTGACCTGCTTGACTTTAATTTCACTACTATGCATCAGCTGCTGTTGTTCCTCCAACTTATTGTTAGCATCAGTATTAAGCTGTTCTAGCAGGAGATGTGATCAGCTTGTGTGTTTTTAACCCATGCTTCCACAGTAAAAAAAAACCTGAGATACCTAATACAAATAATAATAAACCTATATGGCCTAAACAAGCTTTGGGACAGCTGTACAAAAACAGTATCATAAACTTTGTGTCTTACAGGATGAGAATGAGGCCGATTTCTTTAAAATGCATAATTTATCCTACCTTGCTGGCTTTCAGTATCTCAAACATCAGAGGCAACCCTTGTGTGATGAGCTCCTCTGTGTACTCTTCTTCCTGAATGGACTTGAATTCCTTTAGCAAGCACTGGATGAGGGGTCGTCTGTGCTGCTGGAAGGACGTGCGCAAGGACTCCAGCCACGTGTGCAGTGTCCAGGGAACACCTATGGACAGAGGACAGAGCTCATTCCCAGCTTCAGAGAAGATGTGCTTTTTTACCTTTGCTTATGTTAAGATTTTAAGCAAAAGCTACCAAATAACCCTAGAAATCAAATTCCTATTTATCCCAGATTAAGAAGGCTGGTGGTTACCAGGACATCCCAGACCTAACACACAGAGGCTTTCCTCCAAATGCTCTGAGAAGACTGTGGTCTCTCTGCTCACCTAGCCCTCAGCTTCTCTGCTGAGACTGCCAATTTGTGGTAATTGCTGTGGTGCTCTGTGATGCAAAAGCCTTTTGGAAACCAGATTTACACTAGCTCATTTGTTTGAATGTGGTCCTGGAGAGCCATTAAATGGTAAAAAAACTGATTTTGGTCACTACCCACCTGGATTCAAACTGGTGGTCTTCAGATTAAAACTTTCTTTAAGCGCTACCCCATGTCTTCTCCTGATCATGACTCTTTTCCCTAAACAGCACTGAGCAAGTTAAGCAGATCAGCCTTTTCAAGGAGTTTGCCATGGCAGAACCACTCTCCAGGAACTTAAAGGGAACTGCTCCCATGCACTGAGCGAGAAAGCACATGGAGCTAATGTACCTCTGCAGGCATTAGGCTGGATGTGACCTAGTTTCTGCTCTTGCAGAATGGAGTGGGAGGAAACGCAAGCCTGGTGTTTGGCTACAAAAGGTTTTTTCCTTCCATCTCAGCAAATGTCCAGTGCCTAGAGAGCAGCCCCATCACTCTCTTCTCATTCATCGCCAGGCCTTTGCCTGCTCAGCCCACCCGGTGAGCCACCACTCAGACCACTGCACACCCTGACCCATGCCACAGGTCCCCCAGGGCTGGAGCACCGCACCAGGCAGAGGCATGCCAAGCACTCGGGTTTCTCTATCTGAACAGAGATCAATAGGGACGGTAAATACACAGTCCACACCGATTCTACTCTGCGCTACCCAACCACCCTCCCCAAGGGCAGAAGTGACTTCCCAGCAGGCTGGTATGATGTTCAAGCCCTGCACTGGCAGAGTTGGCACACCAAGAAGCCAGTTCCCTGCTCCTGCCCTCGGAGGCTCACAACCCTCAGAAAATAAAGCTGTTTTAATGGTAGACTGCTTTACAGCAGAGTGCAAAAGAGGAGCTGTTGGAGGTGGCCCACAGCAGCTGAACACTGCCCCAGAGCCTTACCTAATGCTCTGCCACGCAGCAGTGAAGATGGCTGCTCGTGGAAACCACTCTGTCCCGCAGAAAAGTGCCAGTGGCCCCCGAACGGTGTGCACTGTGGACCTGAAATGGGCCAGGAACCTGCCAGATGACCCATCACCACCTCCTTCCACAAGAGCTAAGGAAGATGCAACTGTGGTCGGTTTAAGCAACAGCCCATCAAGAGAGATGTGTTTCTTAGAGCAGTCCCTCCTCGGAAGGAGAGGAGAGAGGGCACCAGGACTGACCTATGCTCCGTATGTCAATGGTCACATCCACGTAGCCATGCTCAGCGCTGTGGTACATGGCCTCCTTCAGGGCTTTCAGCTTGGCCTTGCTGTTGCGGCTGGCACAGAGCGGAGCTGCTGCTGAGTCGGGCAAGTCCGTCCCCTCGGCCAGGATCTCCTCCAGCGATAGAATATCACTCTTCTCCTTCTCTGGCTGAGCAAGCAGCTTACGAAAGACGTTCCTGTCAATCACAGCACAACAGAGAGAGGGAGAGGGAAAGA